TCCGCTCTTCAGCGTCTCCCTAGAGTTCTTAGGGAGTTTCCCAAAACTGGGGGGTACCTTGTCTGGGTGTCCTCACAATCAGGATCATAGTATATTGGGGCCTACACTGGGGCCCCTGTATTTGGGAAACTACCACAGGGGGCCCAGCTATCATGCAACAGGTTTCAGGAAAGGGGTCTGCGCGAAAAACGCGCGTGAGTTGAAGGTCCTTCGACTCGAGGGGGCCGGAAGAGGCATACCCTAAACCCCGAAGCCCTTAAACCCTAAACCCCTAAACCTCCAAACCCTAAACCCCAAACCCTGAACCCTAAACCCAAACCCCCAAAAATCAGCAGAAGCTTGGCTCAGGCCTCTAAGGATGCACATGGCCTGGAAAGGGCCTGCCTGACAGATGGCATGGAAGGTGAAGCGTAGGCCACGCAGACCACACCACGTGAGCTGTAGACTAAACTCCTAGCATCCCCCTTCATAAGCCCTACAAGAATACCCTATATACAATCCCTACGTAACCCTTTAAGGAGTTTGGAAAATATGCCAGTTTCACTCAAAGCTGGCAGGAATGTCCAGATTTTTACCCTGCCTGCTTCGAGGACGTGGTGATGCGGTGGCAACCTTGTTCGTACCGCGAACGCATGCGATGCCGCAAGAGGGAAAGTGTCCATACCCACAACTCCCACATGAGATGAAAATGTATTACAAGGAGAGGATACCCGAACCTTGAACCCTATACCCGAATTACCAATAACACCTTTACAGCAAGATCTCGCTCTCATCGGAATGTTTCTAACCACCAGCTTTGTCCATGATCGGTATCACAACAAACAGTTGATATTGCCTGATCATACTTTGGCGTTTCCCAACCTAGACCTAGTTTGAAGGAAGATCTGCACTCCATCTTAAGCAGCAGCAAGTACGGTAGTTTTTTTAAAAAAAATCTGGTTTCCCAAATGTGGACATCAAATATTCACACTCGTCAATATTCCCAACGAACCCTGTATACATTCATTCACCAGAACCATAACACGAGAAGCTGATCTCTGTGATCCCGATATGACTGTGTAATCCCAGTTCCCCTTTCATTGTCCACGTCCTTTTCAATAATATTCTCCATCATTGGGATAATATACCCCAATATGCCTGCGGTGTGCAGTAGCTTCCATTTCATGTTTTCAGTTTGCTTTGCCATTTGATTCTCCATCATTGGGATAATCCGTCCCCCCCTAATGTTAAAACACCCCCAAATATTAGTTCATACATTCAGGGGCCTAGAAATCCGCAAGAGCACTGTTAAAAGGGCAAGACGAGTTTAAAGGGGCCGCCTAATAATGAATTGGGGGGGTTCTGGAATTATCAGTTAGTTATTCAACTGATTAATTACTCAAATGATCCCAACTGACTAAATATTCAATTTTTGGGTATATAGTGTAATCTATTACTTGTTTCATTCATGGATCGTTGATTTTGCGTGGAGTGCAAAAGGATTTTAAAGGCAGCCCTATCTAACTCTTTCAATACATAAAACCCCCCAATATCAAATCATTGTTTCGAACCCCGTATTACTTAATTTTACCGGTGGGGAGGGGGACGTCGTTTAATATCAGGAGGAAATGATTAATGTCCCTATGTGGCGGTATAAGTCTGTAACCCTACACCCTGAACCCTACACCCTAAACCCTTGACTCTAGACCCCTAAGCCCTTTAACCCATAAACCCCTAAACCTCGAAAGCCTGAACCCAAAACCCCTTTACCCTGAACCCCTAAAAGTAAAGTCCCGAGCTGGGGCACAGGCCTTGGCTGGCGCCGAGGCCCGGCTCGAAGGCCGGTCTGGTTCGCCTTTAGGGGTTTAGGGTTCAGGGTTTGGGGTTTAAGGTGTAGGGTTTAGGTTTTAGTGCTTAGGGTTTAGGGGACTTTAGTTTAGGTAACTACTTTAGTACATTGGGGTTATATTGGGATAATGGAACAGAAAATGGAAACTAGAGGGACTATAGGGATTATGTAGGCTGTAGTTTAGGTAACTACTTCAGTACATTGTGATTATATTGAAATAATGGAAAAGAAAATGGAAACTACAGGGACTATAGGGATTATATAGGCTGTAGTTTAGGTAGCTACTTCAGTACATTGGGGTTACATTAGGGTAATGGACAAGAAAATGGAAATTGCTTTAATGTATTGGGGTTACATTAGGGTAGTGGAAAAGACAATGGAAACTGTTTTAATATATTGAGGTTATATTGGGATAACGGAAAAGAAAATGGAAACTGCAGGGATTATAGGGATTATATAGGGGTTACATTGGGACTTTTGATGCAATATACTCCTCCATTACGCGGTTAAGGGTTTAGGGCTTATGCTAAAGTAGTTTCCATGTTCTTTTCCATTATCCCAATGCAACCCCAATATACTAAAGTAGTTTCCATTTCATCTCTTTAGCCCAATATAACCCCAATATATACCCTATAGTCCGTATGTAACCCCTAAAAATCCCTATAATCCCTGTAGTCTCCATTTTCTTTCCCATTATCCCAATTTAACCCCAATGTACTAAAGTAGTTACCTAAACTACTGTAGTTCCTAGGACTTTAGGGGTTCATGGTGGTGCAGGATTTCCTCCATCGACAGGATGATGGGCTGGTTAAAGGGAGCTATGGGGGATGTGTAGCGGGTTCTTTACGTAGCAATGATTTCACATGTGGTGATTTCTATGCGAAGCAAGAATGCTGTATTTCCTTCGTCGCGAAAGTTGCGATCTGCGTTTTGTTGCCTTAGAAGGCTTTTGACAAAGTCGCTCTATCTGACTCTTGCCATCTTCCAAGACTGGCATGTTAATCATCACGCTAACACATACAGGATTACAAATCATGCCTTGTTAGGAATGGGATGATGGATGCCTGCAGTAGCATGGCAGTCCTTACAACTCCTTTCCCCTGCCCCTACACACCAGGCGCTTGCAAACTCAATGAGGGCTTTACCAGGGCAGGCGCCTGTATCAGCTGGACCGCGTGACCAGGAGCTGGGTGGCAATATCTTCAAGGCACCTCATCTTCCAAGTCGCAGAGTATTCCGAGATATCACAAGCAAAGAGAGGTCTACAAAAGCCGAACTTTCCTGCGTGGTGCATTTCTTCGATCATGGGAAACGTCAAGGCGTGCCATGCTGCAGCATCCAGAAATGACATGGAAAGAAGCATGGTATGTGGTTGTTGCCCGCAGTTTCTGAGCTTTGTGCGATTTCCAAAGCACTCGTTCATGAGGCCTGATGCAAACACTCGGTTGGGCACTCGGCAAAACATGGATTAGATCCGTAAGATTTGCGTGTACAAGGGCAGTTGACCTGTCAGGCTTGAATGCGGAATACGCGTGACAGGTACATACACCTACCTCACAAAGCCACACAAAATCAGACAAACATATCATCTGCCGATATCTGCCGGGGCTGTGGCTGAAATTGCCAGGGTAGCGGGATGACTTCGAAGGACGAAAAGCTGCCTTTAGCCAGAGAGCCCGTACCACAGAGTCTGCAAACGGCACTGAGGCCTTCAGTCTAAAACGCAGAAGCCACACGTTCATATGAGAAACCTTCGCAGAATTGTCTGCTTTGGAGTCCCTGCAAGACTGATGACGATGTCAGGGTGTTTGGTGGATATGTAGATACATACTCTGACCGAGACAGCCTAGGTTCAAGCAGGAGCTCCTAGCTGCACCTGCTCGTCAACACATCGCCCCAAGACTTTCCAACGCGTTCGATGGTCTCCAGACACTCTAGAGGTTTGCAGAAGCTTTAATCCATCTGAGAAATTGATTGTAGAGAGGTCCTCAAGCAGAAATGCAACAGTCTACACACATCCAATGCAGCAGGCGCAGCATTTTCCCCTGAGGCTAAGACGCATTTCTGTGCAGCAGCATCTGCGAGGGAATTAGCCGCCACAGAGGCCTGCTCAAACGCGCCAACAACAATTGCAGCAGAAGAGCGTTTCAAAGAAGGCTCAGCGACTGCATGTCCCCGCCTGCAGCGGCGGCCACTCATATCGGGGTACAGGCTTGCAGCGACCAGGCTGCGCACGCAAGTACTTAGCATCCTGCACCAAGTTCGGCCGAAATAACAGTGGCGCAAAGAACTCTGAAGACAAATGCCTGTCTTGGAGCATCATCTCCATCATTGTCCTGACAGCCCACAAGAAGCTTCACAACTCTCTCATCAACCGGTACAAGCAGGCAGTTCTCCTGAATCAGGAGCCTCGGGCTCTTGGAGCTCCTCGCAGACCAGGAGATAGCCTCCCACCAGCTCAGGGCACCCGAATCAGGCTTGACAAGCAACCCAGCCTTCTTGGGAGGAGGAGGAGGGGGCGTCTGCAGCTCTTCAACCCTTGGGAAAGTAGGCCTTCACATTTGGGAGTGCAGAAGTACAGGAGCGTAATATGGAAGCGGTGCCTCGCTGTGATGTGGCAAGGCTTCAGGAGCATGACCTGAGTGTAACCCAACGCTGCACCCCATCTCGTTTCACTGTACACGAGGCTTCATCGAGCGTCTTGACTGAAAATGAAATCAAATAGGATGCAGGCTCCAAGCTGAGAGAAGCCAGCGCCAGCGCAGCAGGCTGTCTCAAACGCTGCCCGATGGGTCAGGCTTGGCCTCTTTGCACTGTTCTCGGACTCGCTTCTGCTTGAGTTCGCAATGGCAAATCGAGCACGAGAACTATTGAACCACCATGAACCACCCCTGTCGCAGATTCCCCATGATGCATGTTTGCGCTCGGTAACATAACAGATGTAGGAGTCATTGCCATTGCAGGTGTCCTATTCGGAGATTCTTGAGAGCAATGGGCCGGCAGAGATGGCTTATTGGACACAAGGTGAAGCTCACATGCGGAGTCTGATTGGATATCAGTCTTTTGGCCTCCGCATTCCATTTCAGGAGGAGCTGTACGGCGAAGGCTTTGGTTCAGCCTCTAACAGCCAGAAGGGCTCAGGTGCCAGTGGCACTCTGGACCAACAAGGAACTCAGGCATCACATCGGGGCGCCTCAGCAGCTCGCTCAGAGAAATGAAGCTGACAAGCATAGGCTGAAGATTGTCTGGTGTCATGAGAAGCATCTGCAAGCATTGAAGAGCTCAGAGCAGGCCGTGGCCACTTCCGGGGCTCCGGCGGTTGGGCAGAACCACCATGGGAGGTGGAGGGATCTGGGCAAGATAAAGCTAAAAGACAATGTGAAGCTTCCCTTCAAAGCCTGAGCAAGCCTTTCCTTTTCTTGATACTGATCTGCAAACAGCATCGGATGTCGATGTCCTTCCCTTCCAACTCTTGTCACACGCAGCATTGTGCTGCATCCAAAGCCCTCACCCGTGGTGCAGAGGGCAGAAAATCCCTTCACAACGGATTCCCCTCGCTGCCAGCCGGCCCAGACTGCTCTGCCACAGCCGCAGTGTGCCGTAAGTACAGGCGCCTGCAAAGGCGAAAAAGCTTCGGAACTGCATGACAGTTTTTATTGCAGACCCGTCTCTCTAACTCTGCCCTGGAAGCCTCTGAAGCTCGGCAAGCTGATGCCGTACCGCGCGTGCCGCCTCTTCAGCGCGCAGCGCTGGGTTTCCCAGAGCATCGGCACCTCTTTGAAAGGGGTGAATGGGGGAGAAGTAGGACCTGCTGAAAGCAACGTGAGGGATGCCTTCAGGACTGTAGCTGTGAACTTCTCTCTCGGCGGAAACAGCAGAAAAGTTATCAAGGTCTTCAGGTTTAGGTGGGCAGAACCACAGGCTGATACAAAACCAATTCCAGGTGAGACCACGCCTGGCATGTCCCGAGCGGTGATCCGCGCATGTGCAAGGCTGGGCTGGCCTCCAGCTAGAATTCAAGCTGGGCTAAGCTGGGTTGAAACATCTGCTCGAAACAACTCTGGATGCTAGCTCAACAGTGTCTCACCAATGAAACAAGAAAGTTTGCCTTCCACCAGCCGGGCCGTGAGCAGCAAGGGGATGCCCCGCATCAGCCAATGCCGAATCTTCTTCCCAGGCGTCACATCCTCCCGCGTGTCCGTCTGGACCTCAGAAGAACAAGCTAAGAAAAGCACTCGGCGGACCCGCGCAGGTGACGCTCCGAGATGTCATCAAGCAAGAAAACGTTGTAGCCCTCTACCCCGAGTACTGGCAGGGATGATAGCGACCAAGTGCGGAGCCCTAAGCCACCGCGTCCAGGGCTCCTCGCCAGGATCCGTCTCGTTTGCAGAAGGCGACGTCAGCAGCTTCGCCAGCAACTCACACCAGCTGAGGATCTGCGTCACACATTGCTTGCCCGCTTCATCCTGGGTGCCAGGCCATGGGCAGAACAGACCTCTGCATTGCCACATGCCTATTCCAAAGCTTTAATTGTGTTTCACACGTTCGTTGTGACGGCAAACTCGGCAAGAGGCCCAGTTGAAATGGAAAATTCTTAAGTTGCTGCTAGCCTCTCCTTTTCTGTCCTCATAGCGGATCATGGGGATGATGACGGCCTGCAGCTCCGCACAGACAGCCCCATTCTAGCCGGTTCCTTGCCTTCTCGCCGGCTGGGTTTTGTTAGTTTGAACCCGAAAATCATGATTGTGCAAGAGTTGTGGGGGCTGCCGCCATGCACACAATACGTTCAGGTCCCAGCACTCTCTGCTACATCCGGCCTGTATGCACGCGAGTCGCGGAGGCAACACAAGCCCGACATCATCACCTCGGCAATCACGCATTCGCGAGCTTCTGCGGCACAGAGAAACATGGACCTTCTCATGCCCATCCCAACCCCGGCCGGCCATGAGCAACAAGCCACTGTGAGCGCAGATGGCGGCGGCAAGTGCGCGACATGAGAGCGAGAAGGCCGTCAAGGAACACACCTACGTCACCAGAGCCAAAACGAGTTGTTACAAGTATGACCCGTCTTCATTGCATCGTTTCTGCGGGCAAAGGTCATGGTTGACACATTTGCCGTTGGAATCCGCGGTGCAGTATCCTCGGCTTGGCACAAGAAAGGTCACGCCACGCTATCCGACTATCTCAATGCGCTCGCATTTGCAAGCGAGCATCTCATGTTGAAGCCTGCAGCTCTCTGCCCTTCAAGCTTATGCACTGCAGCTACCTCGAGGGAAGTCGCCGTCCCAGGGATTGCCCTGAGCGCCATGCTGCTGTAGATCTGCATGATCAACTCTGCACAAATTCCACAGGAAGCAATGCTACACTGAAGCAAAGCTTCACAGCAACGGTCGTCTTCTCGCCGTCAAGTGTGGACTCCCCGACCCGACGCTGTGGGGCAACGGCGAGGAGCTCAATGCATAGACCTCTGAGTCAAGATTGGTGGAGCCAGGACCAATGTTGCTTTAATTTGTGTTTGCCAGACCCAGTAGCATGCATACATTGCTGCGCAGGGTGCTTACGATATGGAGCGACTACTACTCCAGCAAGAAAATCCAATCTAGGCCAAGCCATCCTCCCAAGCGGAACAAAACCATCCCACAAACAGGCAAAGCGCCCCTTCGAAGGACTAAGTGAGCCTATGCCCCACCGCGGCCTTCCCTTCAGCTCCCCCAACCCCTTCAGGCTGGTTCCTGGTGGCTCCTGGACTACGTAGAACCCAGCTATGGAACGCTGGACGCCCCATAGCTACCCCTGGCCACTCCTGTGGTCCTGGCCCCCGTGCCCAGCTCCCCTCAGTGTCATCCAAGCATGGAAAACAGCGCAAGTAGTATCAGTATAAAGCCTAAGCCTGGTCTCCGCGAGGGATGCTCTTGCGACCAAGCCACGCTCGTATAGTCCGGCAATCTTGTCAGCGAAGTCAGACGAGTCCTCATGCGAGGCATGTGCCGCATGCCCCTCCTGCACATAGAGCTCACGACCACGCAAGAAGGGCAAAGGCCTCTTCGTGCTGTTTGGGGTCACTGCAGCGACCCATCGTGTCAAGATCAAGGGAAGATCGCGAATTGAGGTCACCCAAGACTTTCCTAAGACCTTGTACAGCAACGGCTCGCATGCTGTTCGCACCTCCAACTGTGATACCTCGCTGCACTGCACCCCGTTCTCCTTATCTTCAGCTGACACTTTGACCTCCGAATGCGCAAGGGTTGGGATTCCAAAGGGCTTGGCCCCTAGAAGCGACAGCTCAGCGTCCAGCCACCGACGCAGCTCATCCCAGAGGTACATACCAAATGGACCAATCACGGCAGCACCTGTGACATCGCTCTCCTCCGCTAACTTGCCCGTGGAAATCAGGTGCCGATACCACTCCACCACATCACCCGATCGGCTGGCTGGCAGCTTCCCAAGCGCGTTGGCCACGACGGCCCCGGCCGGGTAACCCTGGGATCCCTCGGTGCCATGTACGCCGACTTCGGATTGAGCGGAGGCGGTTTGGGCCTTGGCCCGGGCTTTCCGGGCCTCGAGCCGGAGCGCCTCCTTGCTGAAAACTCCCAGCTCTGCCTCGCAGAGCGTGGCGTGCAGGCAGGTGCGGCCACGCAGCTCCGGGGGACGCCGCTTCGGTCCGGCGCGTGTGCGGCGGGCTCGCGGGTCCCGCAAGCCCTTGGAGGCTCGTTGGAGCGACTTGCCATGCCAGTACCTGCAAAACCGGCAAGAATGTGGCTAAATCTGACGGTGTAATGACGAGGAAGGAGATTTTGCTGCCAGGTGGCTCTTCCAAGTGCCAAACCCTCCCATCCGGTGCAAAGCGCAGCTTGGCAACCTGGAGAAATTGAACCTTCTTCCACTGCCGATCTTCTGACTGCCGAACCTCGAAGCTTGCCTCCCATTTTGCCACAGCTGTCCGCGTGTGTTCATCAAAGACCAGGTCTTCTGAGATGTTTCGGAATTCAATGCTCCTTTCGCGCGCCTGTATATGCGTTATCCAGTAGTTCTTGATTCCAGCATGCCCTCTGTAGATGCCGTTTTCTGGATCATAGGGACGCTCAACATATTGGGCTGTCTCCGTGAAAAGCGCAAGGATCCTGTCTACGTCCTGCAAGCGCCAGGCCTCGCCGTAGCGATCCACCCACTCGACGGCATGCTGTCTAGATACCCTGGAGCCTGCAAGAGCCTCTGCTCCCGAGCTCATCTTGCAGCTTCCAGCTATGAGCCCACATGCTACCTGCTACAACTTGCAGCACTGCAATGGCACAGAAGCAACAGCGACAGGCTTCAGGGATCTCCCTTATCAGGGGCCTCAGGAATGGTAGGTTGGCCCACAGGCGTTGGTGACAACCATGGGCCCTCCTGAAATAGGGCAGGCCAGTAAAGGAGCATGACATAGGAATCTAGCACAGAACTCCCTATAGTAGTCCCTATATAACCCATTATAGCAGTTTATATCTTCTTTTCCATTATCCCTATATATACCCTATCATACTATAGTACTTTCCATTTTCTCTTCCATGATCCCTATAGAATCCCAACATAACCCCCCTTCAGAGTGACCCAGCTGATCCTCCCTTTCCTAAAACTAGAGGAACTTTACTGGGAACCCCAAACAGGGAACCCAAGAATATAGTAGGAATATACTAGGAATATACTAACCAGGGTCCTTATATTCTATTTCATTCCTACTAGATTCTTGGGGTTCCCAGTTTGGGGTTCCCATTAGAACCCTTTCCAAAACCCTGTCCTCTGGAAGACTTCTTCCTCGCCATTCCTGGGCTGGCTGCATCCCTTCTTGGCCTTGGAAGCTTTCAAGTTACTCTGGGGACATGGTGAGCCATGGTCTGAAATAGTAGTATTCCCCTTAGTAACCTACATATCACACCCCTTCAAGGAGTTGAGACTATAGCTCATGTACACTTCTGCATGGGAGATGGCATGATCCTTGGGAAAGAATCTGATCCTGCTCCACTTTTGGCCCTCCATACTTTTCACCATTTCACGAACTGCACAAAAGAGGTAGCTGGCGTACCGTCAGCAGAACTTAGTTGTCAAGAACATACTGTTGCTTTCTCTTGAAGAAATCGAATGCTGTGTGACACACGCAGTGCAAAAAGTCTACCTACCTCCCACAGCAGCTGCAAGGCAAAGGAAACAGTTGGGTGGCAATTTCCAAAGTCGGCGTGCTACTAGTAATGAGGCTGCGTTCTTTCTGGAAAAGACCAACGTTGGAGCGACGGAGTGTGTGCAACCAGAATCCATGCAGAATGGGTGCCGGGCTTTCGAGCCAAGTGTCGATCTCAGCGCACACGAAAGCGGTAGAATTACGACTGACTGTTCCCTGGAAGCCCATTATTGGTGCGTGGAATCTTGCTCATCCAAGGTTTCAGTGGGCTTGAGTATGCTAGGACATATATAACCCCAATATAAACCCCATTATACTACAGTAGTTTCCATTTTCTTTTCCATTATCCCTATAGAATCCCAACATAAAGCCCATTATATAGCCATGGGGCAGATTTTTGTTTAGCTCTAAGATGCTTCAAGCCTAAGCTTCCCGCGAGCGTTGCATTAACGAGCCTGTCCACTGCATCCTCACACGTGGTACAACAGGACGAATATCGAACACGGCCAAATGTCAGGAGCAAAGTGAAGAGCAAGGCGGCAGGGCAGTCGGGCAGTCCAGCCAGCGTGGGGCGGTTTGGTAGCGGCGCACGGCGCTGCGAGCCTTGCATGGATACCGAACCTCTCCAGCCATCTAGAGACAGGCACAACTCCCCAGGCCGCAGCTGGCATGGATGCAAAGGATCCCAGCAAACTCCGCGATGTGAACTTCGACACTAGCGGCCTTAACAGGCCAGGGGACAGGACTTCAGCAATGCCCTGTCCCATTCTGCATCCCGGGTGCAGTGTGCGAGGGAGGAAGAGCGGCAAAGCGGCGCGCGCCAGGTCCTGATGACAGGTTGCCGCATGTTGCGGTAGCGAGGCAGGTCCAACGACTTGTGCTGGAGCAGATGATGGAATTGTCTCCTCATCACTTGCATTGGAAGGGCTTTGTGCAATGCCTGGCAAGTGAGGAAATGACTTGCCAAGCTCTGAACTCCTGACGTTGCGCAACGGCTTTTTCCACCCCGGAGCTTGCCATGGCTTCCTGTCTTCCAAGCTGACATAGCACCTCAGCAAATGGCACATCACATCTTACCATCCTTGTATGGAGTCAAGCATCTAGAGAATGCATCTGAAGCCCCAAGGCTAGGTCACCAGGGCAGCGACGTTGCAACAAGCTGCGCGAAGCGTGCTTGAGCTGCGACCACCTTCCAACTTGGGCTCAGCAACTCTTCAAAGAGCTTTGAGAAGGAAACCCTCATGTTGATGCCTCCAGCTCCGCAAAGCGGCATGCTGCCGGTAGTCAGGCCACTCAATCTCCTCAGCACTGAGAAGAGGATCGAATTTCACACACAGAAAGTAAGCTTGATCTCATCAATCGCTACGCCCGTAGCTGCTTGTCCTTCTAATAGTACCCCTCCCGGTCCCCGAAAGCAATGAGAGCCTTGTGGAAAGAGCCTTCCAAGCTACCATGACTAGCAAGTACCCGAAACAGCCAACTACCCAACCCCGCCCTGTCAAACAAGGTGCCAGCAATGTCCCCTTGGCGACCTGCACCCTCAAGCAAACTTCGAAAACACTTCTGGGAGAATGCAGGTCCGCTGAAATTCGCTCTCAAGATTCGATCAACAAACTTCGCTTCGGGAGCTTCGTTATGGCGAGCCTCTACCAGTTTGGCGCTGCTGGAGCCAATTTTGGGTTTCAGGCCAGTTGTGACGCCTGGAGTATTTGCTGGTGCCCGTTTGGGGCTTCTGGAAGCAAGTTGCAGCTTCTGGCACTAAGTTGCGACTTCTGGAGCTCCTGGAGCCAAATTCGAACTAATTTTGCAACCCTTAGAGCCATTTCCGAGCTATTGTGCAGCTTGTGGAGCCAATTACGAACAATACTCTCTGCACACCCTACGATTGGAACTCTCTCTCAAGTATATGCCCTAAACCATGAGGCAACCCAACCCGACCCCAAGCCCTCCTCGCGGAACACGTCGGCCGTTTCCGGCCAACTGAAGCCAAGCTCTAAGAGCTGGTCACGGCCCTTGCGCAGTCAAAACTTTTGGGTTTTTGAGTGCTTAGGGTCCAAGGTTCACGATTTTGGGTTTTGGCTTTCGAATACAAATATCGTGTCTTGCCGCTTTAGTGTTGATGAAATTCTGTTGCTTTACCGCCTACACACATTAGAGCCGCTTAGGGCTTTGCCTGTGAATATCAATGCTCTGGCTTCTCGAGGGCCACTCTCCAACTGGTAACAAAAATCCTGGTAGGGCTGGGCGGGCGCTCACTTCCAGAGTAATGGTGTCTCTGACATATGGAAACCATGCGGAAACACAATTTCGGCCCATACACGTAATCTTTGGGCTCTAGGATAACAGAAGACAAAGTTACTAATGTGAAGTATGACATGATGTTCATCCTGACACAATCCCTACTAAAATGGATCAAATCTGCACTACAGCATGTCACTGTCCTATCCCAACTATTGGTGATCGCAAAACATGATGCCAGGATCGCTGCTTCCCTTTCGGTTGAACTCCTACACCAGGCACCATGCATTCTGTGATTACGATTGCTCAAGACTGCCCTTGAGGCTGCCTCGGGTCCCAGCTGATCCCACAAGTGGTTTGTGAAGAATACCAGGCTGAACCTCTCCAGGCCCTGCCACTCCTGCCATGATGCCATGATGCTAAATTTACTCAATTGGCCTCTCATGGCAGCCTTTGCCTAAGCCTTTTGCAAGGGAAGAGCTAGGTGTGTCCTCGGTCCGGTGGAACTCGCGGCCATCAAAGGCAATCCACTTGTTGTGGACATCAACGAGACCTGCCAGAACAGTGAACTGGCAACCTACGAAACGTGCCGAACACTACAGTGCCAAGAAAGGCGCAGATCCTCCGTCCCTCCAACCAAAAAACCTACCAGGTTGCCAGTGCCGCGGAGTCGCTCCAGCTGTTATTCCTCGATGCATGAAGCCACAGCCGACCGCGGGAAAACTCGCCCAAAGCCACCATTCGGCTTGGTCCAGCATCGAAGCCATCTGTGTGCATGCGGTACTTGGTGTTCACATTGACCTTGGCCATCAAAACATCAGGCACACAGCGGGAGGGCAGTCTCTAGATTTTTGTGCAAGGACTTGATCCTGACATTTCAGTTTGCCACTGTGTTGGGCTCCTGTAAGGAGCTGGCCTGTATTGACGTAAACCTGAAGTCTGGGCAAGCGGCCCGGCAGCCTCTGCCTTTGCTGCTTCCCTACGGCGGTTACTCTCAACAGTGAAAGCATCCATGTGCTTCAAAAGCTTGAACATGTAGTCCAAGCTGCAGAGCACCTGAACCAACTTTGGGTGTGCCCGCGTTGCTTTGGAGACCACCGGAGTGCCGCCGCCACCGAACTTGTAGTCCGTAGTCAGCCCCAGAGTGCAGCCTTTGCAGAGACCTCCGTTTGGCATCTTGCTTGCCACCTGGGGGGATGAATAATGTAGTGGATCATAAAATAGGATTATGTAGGGTTTAGGGTTTAGGGTTTGATGGGTTGTGTAGGGGTCATATAAAGGTGTCTGCACGGCGAAGGAATGGGACTGTCATGCAGGCATGTGCCCGCGCAAGAAGCTATATATTTGAGCAATCATGCTTGATGAAACGGATGGCCCGCACATCTTTCCCTGCGAGTTGCTGGCTTCTATTCTGCCGCTGACGTACGTTGCACGACAACCCGCGCGGCTGGCAATGTGTTGTGGCACAAAAATCTTTGAGAAGACCCCATGCCAATCCCCGGTAAATTGGTCCCTCATAAAACTGTTACCTTCATCTCAGGACGGGCCTTGCGCTTGTTGCGCGGCAGCACATGCTGGAACTTGCGTAGGGCATGCAGCATTTTGTCATGGTGGCTGCTCAAGCCTTGCACCAGCAAACAACTCAAGAAAGAGATCCAGGAGCAACTTTGCAACAAAGATCTTCGAGGGCCTTCATGCTGGCCACGCACATAGCAGCCACGGCCCAGGGCCTCTTGCCCATGCAAGTGCATTGAACCGTACCATCGCATTTCACGAATGCATTCTACCTTCGGCCAGGTGCACCAGTGCGGTTTGAACGCATCGACAATCCTGCAGAACACATCAGAACACTGAAATACAATGAACTACAATGAACACGAGGCTGGCCAAGCTTTGGATCTGCAAACCCGGAGCCTCTGCACTTTGTGCACTCTGTGCGCTGCGGGGAACGCTGGCACATCCATCAGATCAAGTCTAGCAGAATTACACTGAGCAGTCATTAAGGCTCTTACAAGTGCTATTGACAGTTGAGGGTGCTTGGGCATCTGGTTTTGCGGTCTCTATCTGATCGGTGAGTAGCCGAGCTTAAGAGACGGAGCAGCCCACGGCGGATCCAAAGCACAAACCAAGGGCAGCAACAGCGTCATGTGACAGCGTAATTTGCCTCCAGTCTCCGCTGTACTGCCTGTAGCATATGTTATCTGCTTTGGAACATGCTGCGGGAAGCACGCAACAGTTGGCAACCTTCCGCGCTCTCGACGCCCTCGGCCAGCTCTGACATGCGGTAGCCTGGCGAAAGCACCACGAGATCCCTCAACATCCTTCAACCAGCTCAAAGCCAGCTCCAGGGCAGAGGGGGTAAGTGAATAAGCACGTCTTCTTCGGCTCACAGTCGTAGATACCGCGTGTTTTCTGCCAAAGCATGCTCACCATCTGCAAAGGCTTGCACCCTTCTTCCTCTTACTATTACATACTACTATATAAATATACTGTAAGATACTCTGAAATATTGTAATATACTATAACATACTGCAAAGTCTTATGAGACTGTGATATACAAAAAAGGCCTGGTATACGTCCCTGGGTTCGGCCTGGGCTCCCACGGAGCCAGGGGAGCTAAGTTTCAGGAGCTCCAGGCAGAATCAGTGCCAAAAGTCATAACAACAATACTAGCAACAAGAAAAAGGATAGTAATCATTGAAAGCTATAGTAATACTAGGTATGAAAATAACCAGAACGCAGCAGGGAAAAGCTCCTTCTCACCCCTTCGGGGTAGTGGAGCTTGGCCGCTGATCGGAGACGACAGTCATCCCCTACCCCCTACGTGTAACCCCAATTGCCTACAGCTCAATGGTAGTTTTCCCTAATTAGTAGGTATGACCCAAAAATTGTGGGTGAATGGGATTGCAGCTTGCAACACCTAACCCAGCACCCTCCTAGTGTTCAATTGAATTTCTTCTGGTCGTCTCAAATTGCTTGAAGCATGTAATCCTCAAAACCAATGGTTGTCACAGCTGGAATGGTCCACTCCGGACGCACCGTGTCCTGCAAGTAGGCTGAAGAGTCAAGCCAGCTTGGCCACTCAAAACTTCATCCTCAGCAGACCTCCGCTGGGCGATTTCAAAGTGGGATGTTTCCTGTCTAGTGGCATACTGCCACTTGTTGGTGGAGTTGTCTCCAAAAGCCGCTACCGCAGTACACCAGCTGGCGCTGCTTCAGCTTCTGCACCAGCAGCAGCAACTTCCCAGCAATCCTGCCGCTGTTGACTGAAGAGCTGCAAGTGCCCACCCACGGACACCGCCTGGAAGCAGGTGAAGGGGCCACAAATCTGGGCACCAAATACAAGTACCACTGCTCGCTATGCGGGGGAAGCGGAATTTCGTTCGCCCAGGGTTGCCTGCATAAATGCCCTCGAACAGGTCCGCGTGCTGGGCAGACCCGGGATCGTTTTGTGCCTCTATGGCCTCTCTCAATGAAGCCACTTCCACTTGCCAGGCACGATGACATCATTTGGGCCATATGGGCCATCAGGATCTCTTGTGACAAGATGACAAGGAAGCCTATGTTGCAGAGCATTCAGCTCCTTGTCCCAGAACTCCTCGTCCGATTGCGGCATGACTGCCTTGTTTAAGCTCCTCCCCTAAACCTCCCTGTCCCTCTCCCTCTCCTCGCCGTTAACGGCGGCCAAGAAGAGTTGTTCATTGCACTTCTTCTGGTTGTCGCAGATGTTGAACCAATCCTGGTCACAGCTGCTGCCAAGCCATCATAGGCCAGCGACAAAGTGCAAATGCGTGCATGTCCAAGCTGTCATCAGTTTCCTTGCGCCGTGATTTCAAGCTGACTGCACCGCCAAAACCACAGCTGCGAGTCCCGTATCCCATAAAACGTCGTCCAGAAGAAAGAAGAACCGAATCCCACAATCAGGATTCTTGTCCGCACTCCCGCCAGAAGAGCAGATGTGCCCTCCTGCAGGCTGTAAATGCGCTTGCTACTTCGAAGATTGAGGCTCTCTCTCTCTCTCTCTGCTGATTGAATAGTACCCATCCGGAACTGCCAGTCGCTACCAAAACCTGAAAATGAGAGCTCAAAATCATATTATAACCCCACAATATACCCTATTATGGAAGTTTCCATGTTATTTTCCATTATCCTATATAACCCAATATATACCCTACTATACTATTGTATGTTCCATTTCCTTTTCCATTATCCCCTGTATAACCCCTATATGATATGAGGGCCTACAAGGCATCCTTCCTCCTTGAGGATCGTCTGGAGGAACTCCGATAGGCTCGGCAAGGACCTCTCTCCAGCCCGGCCCTGTGCAAATAAAACGGAAACTACTATAGTATAATGGGGTTTTATAGGGTTTATATAGGTTTATTTAGAGATAATGGAAAAGAAACTGGAAACTACTATGATGGGGCCATATAGAGGTTACATTAGGGTTATGCAGTTGCAGAAGGGACACCACAAGTGCTTTCAGGCTGATCATCGATGTCATCTTGACCTGAACCTGCTAGCCTGCTAGGCTAGTCCCGCGTGCCTTCAGCCTCGAGTTTGCCACATCCAGCGGGTTCCTGAGTTGCCAGAGACGCATGTTTCTTACGTGCAGCCAGTGAGATCTTGCATGCGCAAGTCATACTTTTGGAGAGCGCATTTGCACATCAGCGTGCGGCCAAAATCATCATGCTTGCGGGCGGGGGCGAATTTCAGAAAGATGTATCGCGCTTGACTTACCTTGTGTTCAACAGGAGGCATCGCTGATTGAGACGAACTTGCCGTGGAAGCGGCTGAAGTAACACAAGCCTATGTCCAGAACCAAAGCTTTGCTTGGGCAGCCCTGACGACAAAAAACCGACTGTAAGAATCTCAGCCAAGGCTTGTGAGAATGTTCGGCCAGCAGGTCTTAGCACTGTGCTGGAAACGTGTCAGTAAACTATCCCTGGAGCCATCGCGCGATGACAATATAATATGGCCAGAGTTCGTCAGCAAGGCTGTCAAAGCCCCAGAGGCAAATCCAACAGCTGCCGAGTCCTGGGAGCTGGCACTGGCCTTGCCACCTCGGGATGCATTAACAGCTGCTCAGCTAGTGATGAGGATGCAGGGGCACCGTAGTAGAATGAAGGAATCACATTGGCTCGCACTCTAAGGGAGCAGCACAGCCGCAGGTATGCGAATTTGCAGGACTCGAAGAGGCACATCTTGATGGCCGCAAAGGGAATATCCTGAAAAAAAAACGTGAAGCTTCCTCACTTGGAACGCCGCAGCGCGCAAATGCAAAACTTCAAGAGACGTCACGGAAGTAAGCCCCCACAATACCCACATCAGCCTTACATGCAGGTCGGTTCCCACAAGCCGAAATGCCTCCTAGCCTGCTCCTAAAGGACCTGTAAGAAGATAAACAAGTAGGAGTTACTAAACCTTGGAAGTAAGCGTGACTCAGCAAGGATGTCCTTGATCATGTTCGCCTGCCAGCCGACAAAAAAGCCCCCCATACCTTTGGAAGAGTAGACGACGCGTGCCGCTGCTCGCACGCTCGGTGCACCTTTGACGATAACCTGCGCTTGCGCAAGTTCCTACAACAGCATTTCAAATAACATCTTTCCCAGCCTGCTTCTTCAGGGTGTCGGATGGATTTCCAACCAAAGAGGCTGGAACTGCCGAGGCTGCAGATGCCACCATTGTGGCCTTTAGAGGGAAGTTCACCAAGCTGATCAAAGTCTGCAAAGCTCGCAGAAAGCCTCTCTATCACCGGTCACTGCTGGGGCAGCTGCCATGGCAGGGTCCATTCGACAGGTTTCGCACAACAAGGCGACGGATGCATCGTAGCAGGCAAAGAAGGTGGCAAAAGAAGGAGCCATGCCGAAGGCAACGACAGGTCCTAAGAAGCAGTCATAGTTCGAATGCTGCGGAGCATTTAGCTCAGAGCGCTGGAATGTGTCAGCTTCCAGAACAAAGCTCAGGCTGGAACCAATGCCACGGAATAGCCCTGGCCACAGGCGTTGGGAGCCCGGCTTTGGCATTGCCTGAAGCCGGGTTTTGTAGGAGTCCAGCCCATAGAACAGCGCTTCAGTGGCGCCGCCAGCCAAGTAGCCAGCCAGCGCTGAGTCCATTGCTGGCAGGCCGCAACTCTGCAGCCCTGCTTATAATTTAGGGATATTGGGATAGTGTAGGGTTATATTAGTGTAATGGAAAATAAAATGGAAACTACTGTTCAGGGTTTAGCTTGAGACTCGGCAGCCGGCAGATTTCACACTCAACACAGCTCTGCTGTCCACTCCAATTATCGGCAGGCGCACCTGCATTCTCCGCTGTGTTGGGAGTGCCCGGTGTTGCTGGAGTAGGATTTGGGGTCGCCTCAGGTAGAAACTTTGTAAGGCTTTGTGTTGAGCACCTACCATAACCCAGCTCTCAGACTTTGGCAGGCGCCGAAAAGTTCAAGGGCCATACCTTAGCTCTAAGGACTTCCGGAAAATTCCCAAAAAACAGTTCACAGATTCTGGGGAGCCGCACAGAAACGGTGTCGAAGAGCGTCTTCAATTTGACCTGCATAATCTTGGCTAACAGAAATCTTTGTGAAGCATAGCTGCAAGAGCTGTTGGCATGGCCTGTAGCGTGGGCATGGAGGCATCCATATCAAACACAAAGGGCTTCTGGCCAAAATTCAAAGAAAGCCTCCAGCCGTCTGACCAGCATGTCGCGACACACTTGCATCTGTTTCTCTGCTCACTCGATTTTCCAAGGCGATGGCAGGTGCTTGGTGTCGAGACCTACCTCAGGATCCAAAAACTCGATGGTTTCCGACAGCAAAATGGAGTCCATGTATCATAGTCTTTGCCGGCGGCCACTGCCAGTGGGAGTGCTCTCAAGCTCTGCTTTTGGCTCTGCTCTCTCCATCAGATTCTCGTAGCAGCTAGGTGTGAACGTCTGAACCTGAATCCGTCTACGTAGAATCTATCATTGGCTCCGCCCCTGTTGACACCCAGGTACACAAGGCCACAGCGGGACGTCCCAAGGAACTGGATCCAAGTCAAATGCGAATCCTGTTTCAGGGAGGGCTCCCTCATCGGTGTACGGCTGCGAGTCTACTGTTATGAAGCATGCCAGAAAACCGCTCGTCCATGCCCGCTCCTAGGAAGACACCGTTCAGGGTGTAAAAGATCTTGCGCTTCGATTGTGCTAGAGCCCGCAGCCCTGCCAGAAAATTGATCGTGGGCGACACTTGTGAGGCAGCATTGCGTTGAAGGTTGACAACAGAAACCGTACAATGATAACAACACTGTGAAAATACCGCCAATAATACTAGTAGGAGGCTACTTGTCGGATGCTAGCTGACTGATTAGTATGAAAAAAAGCTTTGACGAAAACAGGCCTTGGTGTGCTTACAGGTCCCCTGGCACAAACCCTAATGACAAGAGGCGGCATGAATGTTGCATTCATGAAAATTGGCTCTTAAATCAGGCTAGAATTTGCCAGGGTTTCCGTGCCTGCTGGAACCTGGGACGCATTGCCACAGTCAGCAAACTCCGAGGCAGGCAGCTGACAGATCCCGCAGCCAACCACATCCCCAGCACCAAAGGTAAGAGGCCCAACTGCCTTGGCATCCACGAACTGGTATCCTCGATTGGAGGCGTGGAAGAGCTGGCCGTCGTCACTGTGAAGGCCCCAGGACTCGCTATCCCAGCCCGCTTGCTGCTTGGCCACCGCATAACGTGAGAAACGAGGCGTGCAGAGGCCAATAGAGATGCAGGGTAGCACAGAGTCTTCCCTGCCCCTTCGGCCGCCCACCAGAACCTTCCACACAAGCCAGGCAACGTTCTTACTAGTGGAATCTTGCGGGGTTCAGGGACACTTGGAAGAGCTTTCCATTGACACAAGGTCATAGGGCATAGCATCCGAATCCTGGCTTCCTGCCTCGTAGTATGCAGCACTTCGATAAGCAATTCTCCACCGACAGCTCCCGCTCTCGCAGAAGTATGGCAGCGCAGTGGCAGAAGGCACCACAGGGAGTGGCAGCTGGGCGACCACGCAGCGATCCCGGCCGTTGAAGCCCGGTCGCAAGTGGCATTGCCGCACCCTGGGGGGACGACACAAACACAAGGCATGACAGCCAAGACGAGAAGCAACAGCAACAGCAACAGCAACAGCAACAGCAACAGCAACAGCAACAGCAACAACAACAACAACAACAACGGCAGCAGCAGCAGCAACAACAACAACAACTCCTGCTGCTGCTGTTGACGACTATAATGCACATGTAGGTGTGCATCTTGGCTGGACCTCCAGTATCTGGTTGGCATTGCTCGCTTATGCGGCTTATGCGTGCGAAAAACGTTGCAGTCATCTTTTTCGAGGCACTTCCCATCTGCATCCGGGAGGAAGTGCACACCCTCCGGAGCCATTGCGGCCTCCCCGTACATGCTGGGCCTTGGTTTCGCAAAGTTTGTCCTTTGGAGCACCGAGCTTGACCAAAAAACTCTCTAAATGACGCAAGAAGAGCTTCAACAGTTCTCATGCACATCAAGCAGCAAGAACTGGTAGTCCTGACTTGAGCACCGCAAGGCATTGATTCTGGGTGCTATGTCCAAGTCGTAGAAGGCACCTTTACAGAAAAGTGGTGCCTCATCACCAACATGCTGCTAGGAAATCAACCCTAGCAAGCTATGTCATCCAGGGCACGCTTCCAACACCACCGAGGCATTGAAGAACTCTGGGCACCTGCTCTGCAAAAACACAACTCTTGCCAAGTCTTTTAAAACCTAAACAACCCGCCCTGCTACAAACTCCTTCAACCAGAACCTCGCAGTTGAGGCCCGCATCCCAGAGGGCACAGAGACGCAGCGGGAATGCCGAGCTCCTGTGGGATGTCGGATAGGAATGCCAAACCTCCATCTGGAGCAAACTGACAGGAAGAAGGAAGAGAAGGGTCCTGTGCGCAAAGCTCTTTCCAGACATTCTGCACCAGTTCCTGCACCACTCTCATACAGGAACTGTACTTGACTAGCCTACAGCAAAGCATCAATCACAATAGGCATCATACTATCATGCAGAAATGGGAGGCATGAGTTTCATCTCAAGATCGCAGGGATAATATCGAGGATTCGAGCCGGACGCCTCGTCCACCCTCAGGCCCACAGTCTGGACACCTTCCATCACTCACCGACTTGCAGAAGTTCCAGGGCCGTGATACAGTCACCACCGTGCTCTAGCCATGCTTTGGACATGAAGGACAGGCCAGGCAGTTGCATGCAGCTGCGCAGCTGTGCGCACATGACATGTTCCATCGTTTTCCTATTTCATCGCTGGAGTCTGGCGGTCTGGGGCACCAACGGAGCAAGGATGCTGGATCCAGGAAGAAGGCCCACTGCAACGGCAGTACATCCAGGTGCATCGGAGATCCCTGCAACACAAGGCTTCTAGGCAGTTCGAAGATTAAAGATACAATACGGAGACAAGAACAACAACAAATAAAAAATGATGATAATGATGATAACTTATACTGCTTGTGAGGCCTCGCCAGGCTCATGGGCAGCTGTGGCCATACCACGTGGCTGCGCTGCTCCCATGGCTGTTCTAACAGAGGTCACAGTGGAGAACAGTGGCGAACAGTGGAGGTGGAGGGTGGGAAAGGTGGGCTGGGCTCGTCCAAGATTGCAACAATCTCCAACGGATCTGTGCAGCGGTACTGTCCAGGATCAACCCCTGAATAGAGCATATTGGGGTCTATATAGGGATAAATTGAAAAAAAATGGAAGCTACTATAGGACTACAAATAGGACCTTGAGTCCTTTGAAATCACCGTTGGGATCTCATGCTTGAACTGACAACTTTGCATGCAGAATTCTGGCAAGACTTCAAAAAAATCAGCAATGCTTTATCCAAGCGTACCAGCATCTACGTGTCCGAAGAATCTGATGCCGAAATGGTTCAGTATAAATGTTAAGCAAGGAAACCACTGCTTCGATTTTTCTTTGCAGTCCAATTAGCATGATCGGATGCGCTTTGCTGGCATCTCCAATTCGCTGCTGGCTGCCCTTTTGTGGCTGCCAGAGCTGCGGGTCATGGTGTGCCAGCACTCAGGATCACCACCCTCAGTCGGGAAGCTGCCCTCGCTCTCGGAGACTTGCTGAAATCCAGCCTTACGATAGCAGCTGCGCGCTTGATAGTTCTTCTTCAGCACTGACAAACGGGTAGTCTGGAACTCCCAGCCGCTGTTGCGCCGACTTTTCGCCAGCAGCAATCCTGATCTTTGGGGTATCTTGTAGGATGGTCTGGAATTAGCGTGCTACGGTGGAATCCCTAAATTTGGCATGCCCCAAAGTACCCTTATCTTCGGCAATCATGGTATTCTTTGTGTAGTAAGGTCATGCAGGATTTGTCGCATCAACCCTATAAGCCCCTATACAAGCCCAGTTTTCGTCTGGTTTTCTTTTCTTTCCCACATTATCCTGCATTTTTCAGCAGCATGGTAGTAACGTAGAAAAGCAAAGTTTCCGGAGCGGCTGAGGATCAGCATGCAGCCAACACCCTGGCCCTGGTGCTCCCAGTCAACTTTTAGATGGCCAATGCATAGCTCCGTTTTGCCTAGGCTGATTTGGGCTTTGTATTGGCAACAGACAGAAGACTTTCAAACAAACATGGATGATTTCCTACTACTGGTGCCCAGACTCGGAGCGCCTGATGCGCTTGGCGGCGTTTGCAGGAGCGATGCAGACAAAATGGCCAGAGCTTTCCACCAGTACTTCAACGTGCTCCCTGCGAATCGGGCTGAGTGGCTTCTCTAGTGCGTGTCGAAAAATCCAGTGCACCATCGGGATTCGAGTTTGGCCATCAGGGCAAACCC